GTACAGCAATCATTCTCTAAGAAATAATTTGGAGGATTTTTATATCATATGTTGCAATACATTGTAGTTAATACAATATAGACTGCAGGCCCAGATTGAATGGTTTGAGTACACCTTTGATATTATTAACTGTATTGGCTACTTCAACTTTCCCTGACTTAATTTCCCCATCTGTAACAAGGGAACCTACCTCTTGCGGCTGTTGCAAGAATTAATTAATTAGCTGGCTGGCTGTGGCATTAAGTCAGTTCCAACTCATAGAGACCCTGCAGAAAGCCCCATATTTCTCTCACAGAGCACTGGTGAACTCAAAGTGATGGCCTTTCAGTTAGCAGTCTAACTCTTCATCCACTATGCCACCAGGACTCCTTTATAAATAACTAGATTAGAACAACAACAACAAAAACACAACTATGTACCACACCTTAGAAAAAAATAAATTCTAAACAACATGGCAACACAAAACATCAAGCTGACTATTCTCCTAGATAACAGAATGAAGTGAACTACTCTGCCAAATCAGTTGATGCTTAGAAGTGATGTGATACAGGAATGTATCTGGTTACTTCTAGTTAATACAGTATTTTTAGCTCTGAAAATATGCTGATACAAGAACTATCATCTTGAAAGCTACTTCTTCAGGCAATAAAGGTTCTAGGTTTAAACCACCTAAAATCAGTATGTTCTTGTTAAGTGCCGTCGAGTAGATTGCAACTCACAGTGACCCTGTATAGGGAGTGACTGGTGAGTTTGAACCACTGACCTTGCAGAGCAAACAAATGTTGAGCAGGAGTGCTTATCCTATAGCACCACACCAGGACTCCAAAATCAGTATGAAATCAGTGAAATTCTATATGTTAAAGGAGCAAATGCTAATAAGAGCTATCCTTTTTTTTTTTTTTTGCTAAAGCTATTTCTCAGTAATAAAAGAGCACGTCAGAAGAGGTAGAATGGCAGTGTGTGTAGATGAAAATTCCTCCCCAGGTAATTTTGAGAGATACGTTACCCAACTTAAGAACAACTGACTGAATTTGGCAATTTCCAAGACCCAGGGCGCAAGACTCCAATACCTATTCTCTTTTCTATTTATTAAACTGCTTCTCATCAGATTTCATTTAGGAAAGTCACTCTCCAAATCAGTTTTGCAAGACTATAAACAATGGTTGGGAATTGGAGTGATACTGTAGTTTGCCTGCATGGGGCATTTTCATTATCTTTAACTACAGATTTATCATGGAGAAATAACACTGTTTTTAATTAGAATTTCTTTAACATTTTCTGTTGTAAAACTTTTAATTTTACCCTTGTGGTGTCAGTCTATTCTAGTATTTAGTGTATTTATTATCAATCTTCATGAATGCATACATTAGTGGAAAATTTTGGGAAGATAAATTGTTAGTATCTGCCAAAATTTAAAATAGTAGGCTCAGAAATCTCACTTTCAGAATTCTAACATAGAAAAAGGAGCACAGAGATAGAAGGATATCCATGAGATTCTCTTGAAAGTAATGATGTATATCTATACACATATTGGAGTCCTGGTGTGGTGCTATGGGTTAAGCACCATACTACTAACTGAAAGGTCGGCAGTTCAAACCCACCAGCTGCTCCTCTGAAACCCTTTACACAGGGTCGCTATGAGTTGGAATAGACTTGAGGATGTGTAACAACAACAATATACATATTGGAGAGTCCTGCTGTGACTCTGTTGGATAAGCACAATAGAGTATGTTGTTGTTAAGTGCTGACAAGTTGGTTCTGATTCATACTGAGCCTTTTTAGGGTTTCTGAGGAGCAGATGGTGAGTTTCAATCGCAGACCTTGTAGTTCAAACCAACCTTGTAATCCAACGCATTTTCTTGCGATGCCACACCAGGACAACATAGTTGTTGTTAGGTGCCATCGAGTCTGTACCAACTCACAGTGACTCTGTGCACAAGACAACAAAACAATACCTGATCCTGGGGCACCCTCACAATTGTTGCCACGCTTGAGCCCATTAATGCTGCCATGTTAGCAATCCATCTTGCTGGGTGTCTTCCTCTTTATCTCTAACCCTACACATTACCAAACATGATATCCTTCTCCAGTGACTGGTCCCTCCTGACAATATGTCCAAAGTATGAGAGACGAAGTTTGGCCATCCTGGCCACC